ACCCGGATGACACTTCTAGCCTCTGCTCATGCTTTCCAACAGTGAATCAGGACAAGACATAGATTTGCTAATGTGCATGTAATCACCAAAGATGAAAATGCCTGGGCTTTTATTCTGTAATGTTTCTAAGACTGTGTCCATTAAATGCAAACAAAAAAAGGAAGAGTCTTGGCAGAACAGGAGACGTGATGTACACTTGATGATCTGATCGACTTAAATATTATTCATGGCGTATAGCCTAGTCCATGCTCTCGCTGTTTCTATGGCTTGGGCTTCATTTGTCTTCCACTGCTCGGCTACATCATTTGCTAACGGATCATCTGGATTAGGAGCACTTAACAAAGCCTGGATTGACAGCAGAACTGTGTGAATCTGCAGTGCTGGGGACCATTTATCTTTCAAAATATCTAAACATATTCTTCCCAACTTGTCTACATTATTTTGGTCATGAAACGTACTTTAGGTGCTGCCATTGGGTATTCTTCTGGAAGGAATAGTTCAAGTTTAAAAGTCCCTCCCTCAAAGGGGGAATCTTGGGGGCCAGCAATGACCACATGAAAATAACGGGCGTTGCTCTCATCTGGTTCTGCTTTAATGCCAGGAACTGGTTCTGCCAGCAAACGCTGGGTTTCCTTGATGATCCTGCGGGGCAGCCCGGCCATCTTGTCAGAACCCGAGTTCGGCCTCTGCTCTTGTCTCCGGCTCCGCTCGCCTCATGCACGAGTCTAATTTTAGTTTTCTACTCAACTACAGATAGTTTTGTGTTGCAAGGAGCTGCTCGTTCGGCCCAGCCACCCAGAACCGAAATAATCACACAGAAACTATATTTATTAAATCACTGGTTAGCCCATTAGCTCTAGCTTCTTATTGGCTAACTCTTACATCTTAATTTAACCCATTTCTATTAATCTGTATATTGCCACGTGGCAGTATCTTACCAGGTAATGTTCCCAGTATCTGTCTCAGGTGGAGGATCCATGGTGTCTCTCTCTGACTCCACTCTTCTTTCTCCCAGCATTCAGTCCATTCCTCCCTGCCTACCTAAGTTCTGCCCTATCAGCAGGCCAAGGCAGGTTTTTTTTTTTTTTATTCAGTAATGGTACTCACAGCACACAGAGGGGAATCCCACATCAGTTTTGCTCATTAGTCTAAGTTGGATGTGGTTTTTTAAGACTTGGGAATCATTGCTCCAGGATCTTCTGCCATTCAAAACTTCCAATGAGAAATCAACTGTTATTCTTATGGGTCTTCCTTTATATGTGACTTGTGTTTTTTTCTCTTGATGCTTTCAATATCTTCTCTTATTTTCTGTATATTTAACATTTTTTCTTTTTTGTTTTATTTTTCAAGACAGGGTTTCTCTATGTAACAGTTCTGGTTTTCCTGGAACTCACTTTGTAGACCAGGCTGGTCTCAAACTCACAAAGATCTGCCTGACTCTGCCTCCCAGGTGCTGGGATTAAAGGTGTGCGCCACCACCTCCTGGCTATGTATACTTAAAGTTTTAATTATATTATGCCATGAAGAGTTTCTTTTCTGGTTCTCTATATTTGGTGTTCTCTGTGATTCTTGCATCTTCTCTTAGCTGGGGAAGTTTCCTTCTGTGATCTTGTTGGAGAGCTGATCTATACCATTCATCTGGAATTCTTCTCCCTCATCTGATCCTAAAATTAAAAAGGTTGGTCTTTTCTTGGTGTCCCACGTTTTCTGTATGTTTCTTTTCTATTTTTATTTTCTCCACATATTCTTAGCTTCTTTCGTCTAGATCTTTACTTCATCTTCAAGTCCTCAAATTATAAGTTCTGCTTGATTCATTTTACTTGTAAGTCTTTCCATTGAGTTTTCTAGTTCAGTTACTGTGTTTTTCAATTTCATATACATATTAACTTGAGTTCTCATCAGTGTTCCTCTTTATTGAATTTTATTTTTCAAATCCTGGATTATCCTCATTATTTTCTTAGCCTTATGTTTCTGTTTTCTTAGGTATCACTCAGGTGTTTATGCTCTTTCTTATTAAGATGACTGAGCTATGTCATCTTTAAGAGGTGACATCATAAAAAATATCATCTTTAAAACTTCTCAAATTCTGCATAAACTTCTTGGTGAAGTTTATGGTTGTTCTTCTAACTTCTACGTCCCGGGGTTCATCCAGGACAATCTTATTGACAGACATTTCTACAGGATGGTAGATTTGGCAGTTGGAGACTACTGTCTTGATCTTTCAGTGTCCATATCTTTGTGATGAACTGTCTTTTGTTAGTTTTGTGTCTGATATAGATAGAGCAGGTAGGGAAAATGACAGGATGTGTGGATTGAATTGAGCCTGGTGTTGGTTGGATATGGCTCATGTGGATCCAGGACTGGGTTGGTATGAAAGATGCTCTGTCTGGTCCAAGAATGGAGTTGGGGGTGTATGCAAGAGTTGGGGTAGGTGTGAGGATGTGAGCATCAGGCAAACTCACCTAGCTAGAACCTCGAGGAGGATGTGTAGGACCTGGCCTAATAGAGAGGTTGGATGTGGTGTGTGAGTGGCTTGAAGGTTGGGGGCAGGGAAGAAGGCAGAGTGGGTCACAGCATAAGCCTAGATGTTGGTAGTGCCATAGGCAGGAGTGGCTAGACTAGGGCCACGATTTGGATGTGGAACCCAGGCTAGATCTACGGCATTAGAAATGGGTAAGTGGAAGGGAGATGTCAGACTTACCTGGTACTTGACCTTGAAAAAAGATGTGCAGCATAAAAAGGTTTGGTAGAGAGGTTCTGAGTCACATTTTATATATGGTGGAGTCCAACTGTGTTCTTTTGCATGTGCAAAACCAGTTGTTCCCACACTGTTGGTTGGGGAGCTCTGTTATTTACTTTGTGAGTCTAGAGAGCAAGACAGGCATTCCCCTATATATGAGCAGCAGATGCAGGATCTTCATGGATGTACTTCTTAATGTTAAAATCTCTGAGAAGTCTTCTTATGAAATGATCAAAAAATCAAAGCACAGTTGGAACTCCCACTTGGTACTCTTGAGTGACAGGAACTGTGTGCTGCTTTCCAGATCAACTCTTCAGTAACTTGGACAGGTTCCCAAACCTGAAAGAACTCTCTGTGAGACTAACGGGCAAACCAGATGTGCTTTCAGTCATCCCTGGAGATTTCCCAAGCCTCCACCACATGGAGAAGTTATGC